AAAGTTATTTGCAACCTAAACCTACTTGTAGATAGTTTTTTTAAAGATTTTTGTTAACTTTTTTTTAAACTTTTAGCAGACTTTTAGCAGATTTTTAGAGAATTCTTGTGAACTTCTTTTAGGACTTTTAGCATTTTTTTAAAAAATTCTTGTAAACTTTTTTATATACTAAAGTTGATTTGAGAATTTTTGTAAACTTCTCTTAGAACTTTGGCATTTTTAGAGAATTCTTGTGAACTTCTCTTAGGACTTTTGGTTGCATTTTTTCTAAAGAATTCTTGTGAACTTCTTTTAAGATTTCAGTATTTTTTTTTAAAGAATTCTTATAGCTTTTCTTGAAACTTTCAACAAAATTTTTAGAGAATTTTTGTAAACTTTTTTTAGAATTTTTAGTAGTGTTTTTTCTAAAGAATTCTTATAGACTTCCCTTAGAATTTTGGTATTTTTTTAAAAAAATTTTTGTAAACTTCTTTTGAGACTTTTGGCAAGATTTTTGAAGAATTTTTGTAGACTTTTCTAGGGCTTTAAGCATTTTTTTAGAAAATTCTCTTAGAATATTTAGTGTTTTTTTAAAAAAATTCTTGTAAACTTCTCTTAAAACTTTTGGCAAGTTTTTGGAAGATTCTTGTAGATTTCTCTATAACTATTAAATTTTTTTAAAAAAATTCTTATGAATTTTGTAGCTTTTTTTTGAAAATTTTTTCTGAATTTTGATATTTCTAGTTTTGTTTTTTTTATCTTTTACTTTAATTTTTTTTGCTTTTTTTTATTTTTTTTGTAATTTTTATCAATCAATAAGTGTATTCTGAAGTATAGTTTAAATATATGTGATCAATTTTTATTAGTTAATTACAAAACATAATTTGTATTTTTAATTAATATTGTTATTACAAATTGATCATATGATTCTGGTTTTAATAAAAGTTGATTTTTTATATAATCTAGAAAATTTCATTTATATTCTGATGCTGTTATTACTAATCGTTGCAGCTAAGTATAATTTATTTAGTATTAAGTAATAATTATAATTATTAATTGCTAATTATAATTGCTAAATATAATTGTTAATTGCTAAACATAATTATTAATTATTAATTACTAAGCGTAATCACTAATTGTTAATTGTTAAGTATAATTGCTAATCATTAATCACTAAGCATAATTCTTAATTATTAATCATTAAGCGAAATTGTTAATCGTTAATCGTTAAGTATAATTGCTAATCATTAATCATTAAAAATTAAGTTTAATCATTATATATGTTTTTTAAATTCTACTCTAAGATAAATATAATAATAACTAATAAATACAAATACTAAAATAAAATAATAATAATAAGATAAAATAAATAACTAATAAAACTGTTCTATAACAATGTATTTCAAAGTTCTGATATATTTAATTAGTTTATATTTTGAGTTAAGATTTTTTTAAAAAATTTATTTTGATAACAATATACTATAATTAACTTAGATTATAATTATAAAATAAATTTTTTTACAATTTTAATTTTTTATTATTTTTAACAAAAAATATAAAAATTTAGTTACTTTTTTTAAAAGATCAGCAAAAATTAGTATTATTCAACATTTTTATTATTAAAAAAACTTTGAATTATATTATAATAAATAAAAAAATATAACAAATGCAAATAAAATGAAAGTTTTAAAACTAAAATTAAAACTGATAATTATATATTAAGATTTTAAAATTAAATATTCTAAAATTTAAATTAGATTTAATATAAAGGTTGTAAACTAAAATAATTATATAGAGATATGCAATATTTTGAAGTTATATGTATAATTTTTAGTCTTTGATATAGATAAAAATATTTTAGTTTTTTTTATATTAAATATGCTTTATATATAGATTTCTATAACTATATAGATAGTTTTTGACCTGGTTAGCAGATTTTTTTATCTATAAACAAGTTCTTATAAATTTTAAAATAGCTTTTAATCTTTTTTTTTTTTTTTTTTAGCAATCCTGCTTTTATTATTTAAATCGAAAGTAACAGAACTTTATATTTACATTAAATATAAATTTTTCATACTATATTTCTGTACTAATAAAAACTCACTTGACTAGTTAAAGCCCAGATGCGATCTGCCTAAGCAGCCAATTTACCTCACATTGGATCCTCAACTTACTGAGGATTTAAACCCTCTAATCCTTGGTTAGAAGCTGCCAACCTTGTCAACGATTGGCTAATTCTTTTCAATACACTGCAGCTAAAGCCTTGACTTGCAGTTTGATTATGAATGTCTTTATTGACTGCTCCATTAGTAAGAATTAAATATTTTTTATAAACCATCTTTTCTAATTCATACAAATCTTCTTTATCATTTTTCTTCTTTTTCTGTAGCTTATTAATTTCTTTTTCCTTCATGGTTTCTTGAAAAGTCTTCTTTTTCTTCTTTTTCTTTTGGTTTTTCCAGTTTAGTTTCTTTTTCTTTCTTCTTTTTCAGATTTGTATTCAGGTTTGAATTCATCTTTTTCTTTATATTAGGGTTTGAATTCATCTTCTTCTTTGTATTAGAGCTTAAATTCATCTTCTTTCTGGAAGTCTAGCTTGTCTTCTGTGATCTTGTGACTTTATCCTGTCTATTGCTTCTTTTTGACTTTCTGTTGCTTTGATTCGAGTATTTTTTTTCTAAATATATCTTCTTTTTTCCTTGGTCTTGATATTTTGATCTTCTATATTGGTTGGATACTGTTTTTCTTCTTTTCTTCTGATTGTCCACTTTGTCTCTTTTTTTTTTTTTTTTTCTGTTTTTTCTCTTTGGCTTTCTTTTTTCTTCCATTTTTAGGTCTAAGTTTCTTTTTGCTTCACTGTATTTTCTTTTGTACTAGGCTTTAGGTTTTTACAAATTTCTTTTATGTTGTTGTTGTTTCTTCTACTTAAATCTCAGTCTTCTTTTTTCTTTTGTGCTTCTCTAAGACCTTTTGTGACTCCTGTATTTTTACTATATTTTCTACATCCAATATTTCTCTATAAACTATACTTTGCTTTGTTCTAATTATATTATGTTGTGTTTCCATATTGATTCTTTCCAAGACTTTCTTCATTTTAAAACTTTCTATATCCTTTCTTATAGTTTTCTTTACTTCTATCTTTATTAGCCATTTCTGATTTTCTTTCTTTCTTCTTGCCAATTTTTTAAGCATTTTTTTTGCCTTGGACTTGAATTTTTCGGCCAGATCTTGTATCATTTTCTTGTTTTTCTTAACTTGTTTGTCTTTTTTCCATTTGTTAAGATTTTTTATACACCGTTTTTCCAGTCTTTTCTCATGTTGTTCCTTTACTAATATATAAAAATTTTCTTCTGTAATGTTTGGTAGAAATGCTTCTATTATGTCCTTCACAATGTAGTTGCGACACTTGTAATCTAATTCTTCTTCTCTGTTTTTGTTATATTGTTTTCTATATTTTGTTTATATTCTTCTAACTTATTTTTGTCTACTTTATCTAATAGGTTCTCTAATGCACATCTTGCAGCTACTAAAATTTATAGGTTTCGATTAATTCTAAAAGTTTCTTTTTTAGTTTGCTCCATGTAACTCAGCTTCTCTATTGTTGTTGTTTTCTTTGCTGTCTTCATTACGTGCTACTTTACATGTTTGTACTGTTTTTCTTTTGTTACATATTGCATAGTTGTGTCACATCAACAGATCTACACTACAGAGTCAAGTGCTTTCTCCAAAAAATTGCTTACAAATGTCGAAAAACTGCTGTATTTTCAAGTTTTCCTTCTATATCTTGATAGATTTCGACTTCTTAACTCTAGTCTTCTAAAAAACAGAGCGTTGTTTTATGTCTTCTTCCTCTTTACTTAGATGTGTAAGCTTTGCTTCTTAGTGCTGTTCTTGAGTTCTGTTGATTTTGTGTTTTTGTTTTTCTGAAAAATTTGTATTTTGATGATTGTCAGAAAAAGTGAATGTTTATTATTTTGTTTAATCTTTTTTATAATTTGGTTACTTTCTTTATATATTTATTTTATTTAACTCTTTTTTATTACACCTTTATCTTTTTTTTCTTTTTTACTTCTTTACAAAAAGTATTATTAGATTAGTAGCATTCTATTGTAAAGCAGTAATTTTGATAAAATTAGTAAAAATTATCTAAAGCTCAAATTTTCAGTAAGTTAAAGATTCTAAAAAAAAGAAAACATTCACTTAGGTGGGTTATTTCTAGGCAAGGCTCTAGCATTTAACCTTTATTAAGGTTTTATTGTGATAATGAAAAAAATCAAGTGATTTTTTATTTGTACAAGTATAAAATATAGATAATATAGGTTTAGCTAACTGAGATCTTGCTGTAATCTGTTATTAATTAATAAAATAAAGAAAAAATTACTGAAGTAAAAAAAGTAAAAAAAATTACTAAGCAAAATAATTTAAATCTAAAATCTTTATTTATAAACAAATCAAAATCAGCCAAATAAGTTAAATCAAAATAATTTATTAATTTATAAATATAAATAATTAAATAAAAAGAATAAAATAATTTAAAAAAACTTACAAAATCTTTAAGTCAAAGTTTGAATTGATTAATATATAGATACAGTATATAGTATATACGTATAATAATTAAAATTGCAAAGCAAAAAATAAATTTAAAACTGCTAACGTAATACGCATAAAAATGTAATAAATTAAAAAAAAAGTTAAATTTCTATCTACACCTCAAGCATCATTTTTTTTATAAATGCAGAACAAAGTATAATAAAATTGTAGGATCAAAAGCATAAAAACTATTTTTTTTAAGCCATGGCAAGGAAAGAACTTGTCACGTGATAATCGAAACATTCTTTAAAGTTTATTTATAATCGGATTAATGCTTATATTAGGGTTAGATTTTAGCCGTATATAGTAAAATAAATTTTTGTTAGAACGCAGAAGGATTTTTGAAAAAACGGATGAAATTCGTTATTGACTAGTTTATCCGCATGTTATCACGTGACGGGTCCTTTCTTTTCCATGGATAGGGTACTCATTCAAATTCGTGCTCAATAGACAGCATGTTTATGCGTGTAGAACAGAATTTTTATGTAGTGTTAAATACAACTCATAATAAAATTGCGGATTTGACTAGATAATTGATCGATTCTTTCTCTAAATTGTCAACTACTTATTGTTATACTTATAAAGATTAGTGTATATATTAAATGAAATTAAATGAAATATAGGACTAGTTCTCGGAAAAATAAACAACAAAAAATACGAGCGCGGGACTTTTTATGGTATTAATTAATTAAGTAATGAAATAATAATTCGATAACGCACGCCATTTTAAGTGCACACTTGCTTTTTGCTTGCATCATAAATTGTTTAATTGATCACAATTATTGAGCAACATTGAAAAAGTACCTTAATCAGTAGGTTTAGAACGCCCTAATGCAGCGACGTGCATTTTCGATGTCCTAAAAAAAAATATATATACTGAATATGTATACAGATTTATATATACAGAGTTATATATAATGCATATATTCTAAACAAATTTATTTACGTACGTACGTACAGTATTTAAAAAGTTCAAACTTCAAACAGGTTTACATAATAAAATTTTGAGCAATACAATTTATTTTTTTTTTATTAAAGTAACTGTCTAACTAATAAGTGTCCCTAATGAATTGCATAAGTAATGTGGGACACATTATTTATATCTATTTATAATTGGATTTATATTTGGCCAAAATAAAAAAAAAATTTTTACTAAAAATAAGGAGTCTCAAAAGAAAACCAAAAAGCTAAACTTTTTGTATAACAGGATATACAAAAAGTACGAAAGTACGAATACTATTTTGCATAAATATATTAACATTGTAGATACTATCGTTATTAAAAAAAATATATAAGAATTGAGGAGATTAAATTACCATTGCGCGTGTTATTAAAATAAAAATTCGATGTTTTCCTCAATTTTACAGTCGAAACATAAATATAATTATAGAAGTTAAGAAAACAATAAGAAGCCCGATTGTTATTGCGGGAGTCGATTTGTTGGCAAGACTGGGGGTTAATAGACTACTAGGAGAAGATTTAGCACTTGATGTAGATGATGATTGAGAAGGTCCAATAGTAGACGAAGGCAACACATATGTATATGTTTTTTTCATTGTAGCAGAACAATTTCCTGTACACTTATTAACACAATCCTGGTTGGCAGGGCCACATGTTCGGGTACAATTTTCCTGGTCACTACTGCATTTAAAGTATTCAACTGGCATAGTATAATCTGTTGACAAAAGAGTCGAAAATAAAAGATTTTAAAGAATTAATCAAAATATTTAAAAAGAGTTTATAATCCATAATAATAATAAATTTTTTGTTTTTTTTTAAAAAAAAATATAATAATTACAATTTGGATCTGGCGGCCGACCGTCAGAACAAACACATGAATAAGTGAAAGTAGCAGGATCACAAGTGTTAGTTTGTGTATCGGTTTTATTATCCTTGCAATTTGTCGTACAAGTTGCCTTATTATTTTCACACCAGGATTGTCTGGTAGCAAGGGGAACAGAGTTTGCTATTAAAATGTAATAAAAACGAATAAGAGTAAGTAATTCAGAATGTAAAAAAGATTTTGGATGTATAAGAACGAGAACGATTCTGAATGTATAAGAACGAGAACGATTCTGAATGTATAATAACGAGAATGATAAAAACAAGGTTGGCTGCTTGACTAGATAATGCTACTGTACAATTTTTTTTTTTTTTTTTGCATTCTCTGGACGATAAACGATGAAAGATTAAAGGAATGTTGTAAACTTACGGTCAAAAGATTCGATATTTGATATGAAACAAAAGGAAATAGCAAAGACTGCTAACAAAACCAAGTATGATTTTATCATTTTGAATTTCACTTAGAGCCAAAGCGCAATAACGGGCAGCTGTAGGTTTTTATTTCCTTAACGAAGAATATCCTCACGCGGATATAAAGTATACTGCAAAAAGGCAGTCCCTTTGAAAATAACGGGTTTATTAAGAAAAAAAAAAATTTAAAAAGATCTATTTAAAGAATTAAAAACAAAAGTAGACTTTCAAAAGACGAATGTCTAATTAATAAATAAGAATGGAATATGTATACACAAATATATATGTAAGTATTAAAATACCTTTTTAAAACTGCTTCTATTATTGGCTTTTATATGTGCGATCGATATTAAAAGCTCAATAATGCATATTTTAATCATTCAATCGCATATTTTAATCAACCAATCAAACCTTTAGTATACAATTTAATGTAACAGACTTTTTCTATGACTGTCTATAATAATATATAAAATCACATGCGTGACATACCGATACTCATTTAATAAAGAATAGGCCAAAAATGGAAGTATTCGATCTACGTACCATAATTAAATGATCGACAGACTTACAATGGTATCGGTATAGATTAAAATTTTAAATTAATAAAGAAAAAGATGTGTTTCATTATTCAATCTAAGTTAGAGAGATGAACGGAATTTCTTTATAAAATTATAATTTTACAAACTTACATTCTAATCCTAAAATCCTAAGAAATTCCCTACTCGCAATAAATTGAATATTAAAGACAATAAATAGAATATTAAAGATAGCATTGTGATACCTCCTTCAATGATGTCGTGCCATCCTACACATTTTATCTGTTAGCTAGTGCAATACCTAGTTATAATTACTAGAATAGGAAATGAATACTTAATACGTACGTAGATATCCATATTATGAAACCAAATACTTATGATATTTTTATTATCTAAAAAAAAAGCTTAATATTAATGCGAATTACCTTTGAAGATTAAAAAATATATATATATATTAATGCGAATTACTATTTACACAAAAATGAGCAGGCACGTAATCTAGAATTGTCTAATTAAAATTAGAGCCAAGATTGATTTGAATGTCTCCAAAAGAAAAACCATTACATCTAAATATAATACTTTTTGCAAGATTGCGAACTTTTTAAAATGCATAACCGAAATAACTAAATTGGTCGACTCTCAGTTCTGATCGGATCTTTGTATATTTTTATCTGTCGATACACGAAAAAGAAATATATATTAATATCTCAAAGATTTTATACATTATTTAATTCATCAAATCTTTTATCAAAAATACATCACCATTAATATTAACCATTAATATTAAAAAACTATAACGATACCGGTTCTGACCTAGTTCTGCCGGTTGTCCATAGATATACCCCACATTCTGCGTATTCTGAAAGACATTCGACATACCGATACAGTATATATGTATCGGTATTATATGTATCGATAT